GTTCTGGCCCTGTTAGACTTCTCAGCGGCTTTTGATACCATCGACCATGGAATCATGCTGCACCGGCTGGAAGAGTTGGGGGTGGGAGGCACCGTGTTAAGGTGGTTCTCCTTTCTCTCAGACCTGTCGTAGTTCGTGTTGGCAGGGGGGCAGAGGTCAACCTCGAGGCCTCTTATATGTGGAGTGCCTCAGGGATTGGTCCTCTCGCCCCTTCTGTTCAACATTTATGTGAAGCCGCTGGGCGAGATCATCCGTGGCTTTGGGGTGAAGTCCCATCAGTACGCTGACGACACCCAGCTGTACATCTCCACCCCAGGCCACCCCAACGATGCCCTTGAAGTGATGTCCCAGTGCCTGGAGGCTGTGCGGATCTGGATGGGGAGGGACAGGCTCAAGCTCAACCCATCCAAGATTGAGTGGCTGTGGTTCCTGGCATCCCGATATAGTCAGTTGACCCCATCACTGACTATCGGGGGCGAGTCTTTGGCCCCCACAGAGAGGGCTCGCAATCTGGGAGTCCTCCTGGATATGCAGCTGTCCTTGGAGGAACATCTGACGGCTGTGGCCAGGGGGACCTTTTATCAGGTTCGCCTGATTCGCCAGTTGCGGCCCTTTCTTGATCGGGATTCCCTGTGCACAGTCACTCATGCCCTCGTCACCTCTCGCCTTGACTACTGCAACGGTCTCTACATGGGGCTCCCCTTGAAGAGCACCCGGAGGCTCCAACTGGTCCAGAATGTGGCCGCGCATGTGGTCACGGGAGCCGCATGGCGCTCCCATACAACACCTCTCCTGCGTGAGCTGCACTGGCTCCCAGTGGTCTTCTGGGTGCGCTTCAAGGTGTTGGTTATCACCTTTAAAGTGCTCCATGGCATAGGACCTAGTTATCTTTGAGACCGCCTGCTGCTACCGACGACCTCCCATCGACCCATGCGCTCCCACAGAGAGGGCCTCCTCAGGGTGCCATCAGCCAAGCAATGCAGGCTGGTGACCCCCAGGGGGAGGGCCTTCTCTGTGGGGGCACCTACCCTCTGGAATCAGCTGCCCCCAGAGATAAGGAGAATCCAAGACCTCAGTGCCTTCCGCCGTGCCCTTAAAACCTTCTTTTTCCAGCAAGCCAGGCCTGCCTAACACTTTTTAAAATGTTTTTAATTGTTTGTTATTGTTTTTAATCATGGGGCCAAATTTATATATATATATATGTATTTAATTGTATTTTAATGTTTGTAGTTTATGCTTTTACTTGGCTGTTCACCGCCCTGAGTCCTCAGGGAGAAGGGTGGTATACAAATTTAAAAATAAATAAATAAATAAATAAATAAATAAATAAATAAATTTGTAAACATAATAAAGGCAGGATACAGAAAAAGGAAGAAAGAAAGAGACATTGCCCAACTCCAGACTGACTCTGATATGATCCCTCAGAGCACGAGAAAACAGCCATGGGGGGGGGGGGTTAAAAATCAACAAGGCTTGGTTCAAAGGCAAGCTGGAAATGCTCTGTTTTGCTGGGAAATTAAGAACTTAGAATCCTAGTTGAACAACCATTTAAATATGAGCCAGCAGTGGTTTCAGTTGCCAAAAAGGCCAACACAGTCCTGGGTTGCCTCAACCCAGGGATAGAATCAAGATCACATGAAGTATTGGTATTGGCTTATAATGCCTTGGTAAGGCTTGCACTTGGAATACTGCATACAGCTTTGGTCCCCATATCAAAAAAGATGTTGAGACTCCGGAAAGAGTGCAGAAAAGAGCAACAAAGATGATTAGGGATGGTTATATGAAGAATTGGGTATGGCTAGTTTAGAGAAAAGAAAGACTAGGGTGATAGCAATAGTCCAGTATTTGAGGGGTTGCCAGAAAGAAGAAGGAGTCAAGCACCAGAAGGCAGGACAGGCAGGACAAGAAGCAACAGATGGAAGCTTATCAAGGAGAGAACCAACCTAGAACTAAGGAGAAATTATCTCTCTGTGAGAACAGTCAAATCAGTGGAACGGCATCCCCCAGAAGTTGTGGGTGCTCCATCAGTGGAGTCTGGAAGCTGAGTCATAACAACTGGATTTCTTTTCTTTTTGGTTTGAAATGTTTCGCTGCTTATCCAGGTAGCTTCTTCAGTCTGACTGAAACTTTTCAAACAAGAAGTCCAGTTGCCATCACTCAACTTCCAGACAACTCTACCTGGATGACTAAGAATCTTCATTGATATTTCATCCATCATGGAAGGTTTTCAAGAATAGAGTGGGCAGCCATTTCACTGGGATGGTATAGACTAGAGTCTCCTGCTTGAGCAAGGGGTTGGACTAGAACACCTTCAATGTCCCTTCCAACTCGGTTATTCTTTGTTCCATGATTGCAGAAACTATAAACCACCTTCCTCTGTCTTGATCTTTGGAGCTTTGAGATCAGGGAGTGGCTGCGGGGACAAGCAAGAGGGCGGTTATGGGCCCTGCAAAATGAATGGCCTGGCCAGTCCCCTCTGCTTGACATTTCCATGGGGAGGAAGAGGGGGCACTTTCTGCACACAATGCCACAATCCATTGTACATCTGAAGCTTCCGGTTCAGGAAATATTTTCCAGGGATCTACAAGAAATTTTGATTGCTTTGCTTCTGGACCTTTGTGAGAATTATGGATTGGATTTTAAGAGCAGCCATTCTTTCACTCTGAAGTATATTAAATGAGATTATAGATTTATGATTCTTTAGCAAAGTTCACACTGCAAGGAATAAAAGGCTTCTGAAAAAGAGGAGACTATCCTGGGGGTAGGTGAAATGCAATGCATTAGGCCCCCTTGTTAATATTAGTAGCAGGGGATCCTACACTCACAGGATGCCGCCACCTTAAATGGAAAGCAGCTGCTTTTTAATTTTTTTTTACCCCATTTATGATTCTCTTAAGAAGAGTCTTGCAAGTGTCGTCTCTCCCCGGTTAGCATCAGAACTGGCCTTGCCATTGCAGGTAGTCCTCAATTTACAACAGTTCCTTTATCAACAATTGGTAGTTACAAGGGCACTGAAAAAAGTGATTTAAAACCAGTCCTCGTACTGACAGTCAGTGCAGTGATCAAAATTTGGGTACTTGCAACAACTGCAATGTCCCAGGATCATTTGATCACCATTTGTGACCTTTCTAGCCGGCTTCTGACAAGTGAAGGCAAGGGGGAACAGTCACGTTTGCTTAATGACCACTGCAGCAATTTGCTTAACGACTGTGGCAAACATGGTAAAATCGGGGTATGACTCAAGGGTCTGGAGGCTAAAACATGAAGAACGGTTGCCGGAATTGGGTAAGGCCTAGTCTGGTGAAAGTAGGACCAGGGGAGATACGACAGCAGTGTTCCGGTATTTGAGGGGCTGCCACAAAGAGGAGGGGGGCTCAACCTATTCCCCAAAACTCAGGTGCTTTCAGAAGGTAGGCAGATCAAGAAGCAACAGATGGAAACTAATCAAGCAAGGAAGCAACCCAGAACTAAGGAGGAATTTCCTGACAGTAAAAACAATGAACCAGTGGAACAGAAGTTGCCTTCGGAAGTTGTGGGTGTTTCATCACTGGAGGCTTTTAAGAAGAAACTGGACAGCCGTCTGTCCGGAATGGTCTTGGGTAGGGGGTTGGGCTAAAGGACCTCCAAGGTCCCTTCCAACTCCGTTATTAGAACCACCTTGCTTAGCAATGGAAGGTCCGGTCCCAACTATGGTGGTAAGTCACGGAGTGCTTGTCCTCCCTTGTCAGACCTGGGGTTGGTGCTGCTACTTTCCTATGCCCACCCCGCCCCTGGATCTCACAGGTGGCCCAGAGACGCCTGTTTTGTCAGGCAGGAGCAGCAGCGGGTAAGAAGGCAGCCTCTTGGGAGGCCAGGTCAGCCTGCCGTCCCTGCCTGCCTCTTGCCAGTATTTGGCTCCAAGGCGGGAGAGGAGCCTCGGGGCGAGGAGGAGGGAGGAGCACAGCGAGGCTCTCCAGCCAGAGAAGCTGAGGCACGTCTAGGTTGATTCCCGGGCCGGCCCTCCTGCCTCCCTCCTCCATTACGGCCCCGGAAGCTCACAGCCGCCTCTTCTGTCAGGACCTTCGGGAAATTGAGAGAAGTTCTGCATCTGCCCGGCAAAATCCCGCGCGCCCAGAACTCCTCTCAATTTCACGAAGGTCCTGCAGGCGCGCGCGCACGCCCCCCCCCCACGGCTGAGGGATGCCCTCGGTCGCCCCCAAAGGGTCTCCGCGCCTGAGGTGTGGGGGAGGGGCAGGGGGGAAAGGCCCCTCAGGGAAGCCAGGGCGGAGGCGGTGGAGAAGGGGCTGCTGCGGGGAGGGCAGAGAGGCTCCAACCGGCACCTGCTCCTCGGTCCAGGCGCTGACGGGCCTCTCCCCCCCAGGCTGCAGCCGACGCGTCTCCAGCACGGGGCACTTTTGCCAGCCCGGCGGCACGGCCGTCGGACCGGACTCCGGCCCTCCGACCAGCCCCCTTCGGGAGGAAGGGCCGACAGACCCACCGCTGGCTTCGGCCCCGGGAGGCTCGGGCGGCCGGAGAGCAGGGCTCCCTCCCCGCTAGCAATGACCGGCCCGCCCTGGCCAGAACCCCCCGCGCCGGCCCGGCCCCGTCGCTCGGCTCTCTCACCTCGGCAGGGGGAGCCCCTCGCGAGCCGAAGACGCGGGCTGCCGATCGCGAGGCTGGAGCGGCGGCGGCTGCAGGGGGATCTTCGGAGCGAAGAGCGGCGGAGGCGGAGTGTCGGGGGGGGGAGCTTTCCACACCCCAGCGCGCTCGCAGGCCCCGCCCGGCCTCCCCACACGCCCTCCGGTCCGGCCGAAAGTTTCCCCGGCGGCGGCGGCGGTTGCAGCGCCTCTTCTTCGCACCGCGCCGATCCGGCATCGGCCACCGCGGGAGAAGGACTCACGGCGGCCCGACCGGGAGGCGGCCGCTCTGCTCGGGAAAACTTGAGCGGCCGGCGGGGACATCGCAGCAGGCGGGCCCCCGCGCGCTCCGGAGGCAACGCGCCGAAGCGGGCGGGGCTTCGGATGGGGGTCCCGGCGCCGGCTGCCTCCGGCCACTGAGCCCGGCCGAGGGACAGGCGGGGCCGCGCGACCCCCGCGCCTCCCCCGGCCCGAGATGTCGGCCACGAGCGCACCTGCGGCGACCCCCGCGGAGAGGGGCCAGGGCTGCCCCGCCGCCCCGCCGCCCAAGAAGAAGAAGCCCAAGTCCGGCTCGTCCAGCCTGCGCCGGGCCTTCAGCTGGCTGCGGGGCCGGCGGAAGAAGGCGGCGGCGGGCGAGCAGCCCGGAGCGCCCCCTGCGGAGGGCAAGAAGCGAGAGGAGCGGCGCCAGGGCAAAGGTGAGGCCGGGCCCAGAGGCGGGGGGCGGGGGGGCTGAACCGGGGGCTCTTTCGGGGTCCCGCCGGAGTCTCCAAGCCGCGCGCCGAGCGAGCTCTCCTCGCCCAAAGTTGCAGCGCGAGCCTGTTGCTCCTTCCTCCGTCCTTGCCTCTCCCGGAGCAGAACCCGCTTCAGCCTTTACGCCACCTGTCCGTCCGGCTGGCTTCCCTCGGCCGGTGCCCCTCGGAGCAGAGCAGCGGGGGGACACGGAGCCCCGCCGAAGGGCCGTTTCTTTGGGGTCTTTGTGCATCGGGAAATGCCTGGGGCTGCCCAGGTGGGCGAAGGGCTCCGGCAAGCACTACTAAACCATCCGGCGGCAACCCTGCTTAGGCGCCCCCTCTGCAGTCTGGACAGGCGGTTTAGCTCTGGGGTTGGGCTGCAGCTGTGCCAGATGTGGGCCTCTAATTCCCCCCTTGCAAAAATGCCTTTCCTGCCAAGGCTGAGGCTTCTCCGCCGGCCGCTCCTTCAGAGTCCTCAGGTCAGGGATCCTGGGAGAACCCTGGTGCAGCTCCAGATCCCCCCCAAAGGAAGGAAGGAGGGAGGGAGCTTTGCAAGGCCTGATGCAAGCGGGTCCAACCCTGACCGGGTCATCTTGCTGGGGAAGCACAACTGCCCAGGCAAGGAAGGTTGTTGCTCTCCCTTAGGATTAGGACTTCGGATTGAGGGGTAGGGGGGAAGGGGTGGGGTGTCTCTGGCGGGCCGCTCAGTGCAGTCAGGCCTGAGCAAAGTTGAGAAAGTCCTGGACTGGCCAACCTGCGGCCCGTGTGCTGTAGCCCACCTGGAAAGCCTTTGGGCCAGGCTTCGCTGAAGCCGCCATTTGAGAGAGTTTACCACTTCCTGCTGCCTGGATCACTGGGTTCAAGGCCGAGTCACGCCAAAGGGGCGTGCATGGGTGTGTGTCACACAGATGGAATGGAACATTAGACTGGGGGCAACGTGCCAGGCAGGCAGCTGGACCTTGTGGATCCGACTCAGGAACTGGCCAAGAAGTTTCCTTGGCCTGAAGATCCTCGGAGGAGAACAGGGAGCAAGTGATGATATGCAAATAATGTCATTTTTTAATGTGTTAGGTAGATACTCCAGGGAAATAGCAACAAAACTGGAACCCATTTATTTTGGCATATACTTTGTGGACTGACAAAGCACATTGTCACCCATGCAACCAGATGCCAAATATACTTGCTTAATGTTTAAGATGTCATGATGCTTTTTATACTTCTGCAGAGATAAACTAATTCTAATATGGTTGCTGCCTTTTAAAAATCCATAACAGGTCATCTGACCAGAATGGTGTAACGTCCCTTGTCTTGAGCAGGGGGTCAGACTAGAAGACCTCCGAGGTCCCTTCCAGGATTCTGTGGTCTGTGTTCTTTCCAACTGAGTTAATAGGAGGGTGTTGATGTCAGGGTGAAAAGCATCCTGGACACATTGGTCCTATAGTACTTGGAAAAACCAAGCCCGCCTTGAAAGCCAGCAGCTCTTTTCTCCCTCTCTATCATCTGGGCAACATGCAGAGTCGCCATGCTTTAAGTTGAATTATGCTTGATCCCTCCCCCCACAGGAAAGTCCGGGGCCACCAGAGGGCCAAGCCATGCAGGAGTGATGGCAGATCTGTGAAAGCAAAATCTGCCAAGCATTGCCTGGGAAATGCGAGTGATAGGCTCATGGGAGGCATTTCCCTTTCCCCTTGGCATCAGATGAGTCAAAGGGGGTGGGAATTGAGTGCAGCTCTAGGCATAGACCTCAGCCTGGCTGCCCAATTCCAGGGAACTCATGTGCAGAATCCAAGGGCCATCCAAAAGGCAGAGAGTAAGTTTTAGGAGCGCTGTCCACAGTTAGATCCTATCCCATACTGGTGCTCTTTGGAGAGGTTGGATCTCTTAAAGGGGTTGGGAGTATGATCGGAGCTGTAGTCCATTATATTTAGAAGGCAGTAGGAGGGGAAGGCTGATTTTGGTGCCTGCTTGATTTTACAACCTTTTTTGCTGAGTCGTTAAGCGAATCTGGCTTCTCCCATTGTCTCAGTTTGTTGGAAGCAGGCTGAGAAAGTTGCAATTGGCAATCACATAACTCCATGACGCTGAAACTGTTGGCAATACATGTTGGTTGCCAAGCACCTGAATCATGATCACATGATTGCAGGGAAGCTGTGAAGGTCATATGTGTGAGGATTGGTTTAAGTCACTTTTTTCAGTGCCATTGTAACTTTGAACAATCGCTAAATGAATGTTTGTAAGTCGAGGACTCCCTGTAGGGCTTTCAAACTCCTTTGTCTCTTGCTGGCAAGATAGCAAAGGATGCCACCCCCCATCCCGACTGCATGGAAAGTGGCAGGTTTTGGAATGGAGCTCTGCAAATATGCTAATGCATCTTTCTCTGAAAGAGCCTCAGAAGAACTTTTGGGAGATTTTATGAGATTCCCTGGAAGATGATGGCAAAGGCTGATGACATCTTTTAATTTCAGGTACAGGGTAGTGTTCTTTTTCAAAAACGGTCAGCCATTGTTGAGTGGGTTTCCAATCCGGAAATATTCACACACCCTTCCACAACTTGGGACCTGAATCAGTGCTATTTTCCTTGTACGGATCAGGAGATGAGCCTGATTTGCCATAATGCAATTTCCTAAAGAGTTGTGGGTCTTAGCACAAGTCTGGAATTCTATTTGCAGGAGTTGGACGTCTGTTTTGGAAACTTTATGTATCCTGGAAGGAAAAGCCATGCTGGGAGGTAAAACTTGTTGGCAAAACTTTGTATAGTCTATAGAAAAATGTACCTTTCTGCACAGCTGAAGGGACAAGAAAGACAAAAAATAGCCATGGCTGTTCACCATCTGCCTGGGGACCCCAAACAATTTGCTCTTGTGACTATGGAGCTTGTCCGTCCTCCAGGTCACGGTTGTCCCAAAGGTGCTTTTTTCAAGAGGCAACTGGACTTTCTGGGTTTTTCTTTGAAGATGTTTCGCTTCTCTTCCAAGAAACAAAACGTCTTCAAAGAAAAAACCAGAAAGTCCAGTTGCCTCTTGAAAAAAGCACCTTTGGGATTTGTTAAGTGAGTTTTGCCCCATTTTACGACTTGTCTTGCCACAGTTGTTAAGTGAATCATTGCATTTGTTAGGTTAGTAACACTGTTGTTAAGTGAATCTGGCTTCCCCGTGGACTTTGCTTGTGAGAAGGTTGCAAAAGGGGATCACGTGACCCCAGGATGCTGCAACTGTCATAAATATGGGTCAGTTGCCAATTTTGATCAGGTGAGGGTGGGGGTGTCAACAACGGTTGTAAGTGTGAAAAACAGTCACTTTTTTCAGTGCTGTTGTAACTTTGAAGGTCACTAAGTGAACTGCTGTAAGTCAAGGACTGCCTGTATTACTACTTTGGCTTTTTGAAGTTCCACTTGTTAGTCAGAAGAGGACTGGATAAAGAGAGGGAGCTTGCAAGAGTGAAGATGACCTCCGTTGGTAGCCCTGAGCAAGAACAAGAGGCGTCTTTGCTCCTGGACGGTTGGGGCTGCTTCGTAGTTGGGTGTCTTCCGTAGACACCAGCATAGAATGGAGTTGGCTGTGGTGGGATGGGCTAGGCTGGATTCTCGCTCTCTGCAACACTCCCTCCAGCAAGGTAATCCCAGGAGGCTGCTAAGGGGGGGAAGGGAACCTGCCCGTCTTGAGATCTGCGGTTCATCTGTTGGGGCAGACCAAGCGAGATCAACTTAAACCAACAGGGTGCTAGGCAGGGTGTCCATGGGGTGCATAAGTGTGTCAAAAAAGTCAAAATGGTGGACGTGACCTTGTGATCAGAGCTCTGCCCCCTTTTTACAGATATCCTCCTGCGGAAGCTCCTGAAAGCTGGTTAATCTGCCAGCTCAACTGTTTTTTCAAAATATATTTACTTTGGCCTCATTTTGGAAGGAAGTGCGATGTATAAATAACATTCATTTTATTTATTTATTCTACCCTTTTATTATTTTTTTTACAAATAACACAAGGTGGCAAAGATAATCAACTCTCCTTCTTCCTCCTGTTTTCCCCACACCCACCACCTTGTGGGTGGCTTGGGCAGTGGGAGAAGAGGGGCTGCTCCCCCAGCATGGACGCTTCTCCACTGAGGGGTCCTTCCCAGCCCTAGTCACAGCAAGAGAGCCTTTAAGGGCCTTTTCACTTTGAAGGGAAACAGAGCTGGGGCTGTTGGAAAGCATCTCGAGCAAAGGTTGGGCCTTGTGGAAAGAAGTGCAGAGAACAGCATTGGGCTGTGAGAATCCGGGCATCGTGGAGGAAGTGGCAGAGGGGTAGATTCTGACAACCAAGATTCTTTCCCTTTGGAGACACCCTTGACGGCCGAGTCCCCTTGAAGCACGTGAGGGCAAGGAGCCGTGCATGTGAGTTTCTCTGTGGATTACCAAGGAGACATGAAGTTCTTCGCTTGCCAGATCATTATGACTCCAACAGGCTTCTACTGGATGAAATCACCGCCGTCTCCCAGCACATCTTATTCACTGCTTCCAAAATGCTGAGTGCAGACGGGCCGCACCCTGTTCAACTCTTTTGGCACCGGGGCGCGTATATAGTTCGACAGCTGCAGCAGCCTTGAGGGGCCCAGTGGGGCCTGGATGGGAGGGCTCGCCCTTACTGGAGTGTGTGTGTGTGTGTGACAGAGCGAGAGGGAGGGAGGGAGGTTGGTTGGTTTGCTGGAGTTGCACCCAAGAGGGAGGTGGGGGGGGGGTGGAACCGACCTCTGGAATTGCTTTACAGCATTGCTGACAATGGCGAGAAAGCGCTATAAAAGGGAAAGTGGTTGTGAGTGATTGTACCCTCTCGGCAGAGAGTGGCTTGTTTGATGACAGGCAGGAACCAAGGATCCTGCCACACAGGCACTGCCAGTGGAGAATGGTGCCTCTGTGAGGGTGGAAAGCGGTGGGGGCAAAGAGGATTCCACTGCAAGGAATGGGGGAGGGGGTGTCAACTTTAGACCCC